GACTGACTTCAGTGATACGACTGTGCAGGTCTTGAGGCGTGAAACATGGAAACCTGCTGCTCTTTTTCTTTTGCATTGAACCTGCTCGCATACATTCGTATCCTATACGTATGCTTAAACCTTGAAGTAAACCCTAGCGAAATGTAGGTTTGGTAGATCGAAAAATCTCTCATCAGAAATCAATAAATTATCAAGAAAATCAATACTTATTCCAGTCCTATGGAACGATGTCGATTTCGAATATAACTATAGATACCAATGAGATTGTTACTGGTAAACATCGATTGACCGTTGAATGTAATGCTAGAAATGACGAAGGAACCACATCTAAGCAGCATGTGATCAAGATTCTTGGTATGTGAATCTGTAACATGGCTATAGCGTTCAGAGTTACCAGTTTATTCGTTTAGCTCCCCCATTGCCTCCACGAATTACGGGTCTTGAGGAAGGCATACATTTGGAAGGACTTGTGCTCAATGTGAGCTGTGAAGCTCATGGTGGAAATCCACTAGCTGATATCTCTTGGTATAGAGGATACGATAAGGTATGAATAGTTAAGCGTGAAGTTTCAGATGTGTTTTTGAAATTCTGAAGAATATCTGAAAAATTGTTTTCTTTGAGAAATTAAAAGGAAGGCGGAAACCGCGTTGGTCAAAGGTGAGATTTCTAGCAAGTTTCAGTGGTGGTCCAATGCTTCGTGATTTGTAAAAATTGTTGTGAACAAAGCTGAAGGAGCATGAACCCGCTAGACCATATACAGTCTTGTTCGCTGCGGATGCTGGTGTGTGTCAGGGGCTGAGTTTGGCTTGGCGCCAGAACTTTTCCACCAACTGCGGCCGCTTGCCAGCTTCCGCAGTTGATGGAGAACGAGTGGCGCCGCGCCAGACACGCAGCAGCATATGCAGCGAAGGAGGAGCGGCTTAGGAATTCCATCACCAGAACCCATCGAGAACCTGACCTGTTTTCTGTAGAAAAGCATCGATCAACCTTCACAGGTGTGGACCAAAAGGTCCGAACTGGGATGTGAGAAGGCCAGGTCGCGCTATTTTTTTCAAACCTGGTTTGCTACTGCAACATTTTGCCGTCAAATCGATAAGCTCCTGGGGCGGATACTGCGCACGCGGCACCGTAGCTCCGATCTCGACCGACACCAACATCTTGCTTGTATGTAACGCTGGTTCCCGTCGCATAGCAGTCGAATTTTCCGCTCGCCGCGCGCGACATGAATAAACCGCACCGTAACCTCATGTTAAGCGGTCACTGCGCAGTGTCTCGGGCAACCCTCGCAACTCAGAATGCTGCTCATCTCTCTGGTACTCTTTGCAGCGCAGAGTGCAGTTCATGAAACTTTACCGCCCCTCGCTAGTTGACGTTATCGGGAACTACAAATCAATCAGGTCTGGCAACCTACAGTCCTCATCATTGCGGACCGGTGGGGCGTGTCAGCCAGTATGAGTGTGCACACTGTTGAAGCCGTTCTCAGCCTTTTTTGTTGAAACGCGTATGCGACAAAAAGTGGTAGAAAACGAGTAATACGGAGGATATAATACAGTAATGTCACTTGCCGGCTTCAACAACTGGTGCAGACGACTTTGGCCCCGCGCCAAACGCAGCCGCACTGAACCGCCCCGGACAGCTAACGTGATGAGATGGGACTGTACTCCTTGATCCTTTTACAGTCTCGCATAAGAAGTAAGTTGTCATTACCAGACTGGTAAGACGCGAAAGTGTAAGAATGAGGCAACTAGCTAACAGTCCTGGTTTGTGAACGATTCGGCGCCTCTGATGCCATGAAATATAGCTGATATCGTCGCAAGCACTCGGAGCGGTGGGATGAACCGGCCCCGACTGCGGTTATTCAAACTAGTGACCGGTCAATCGATTCAGGAAGAAAATAACCAGTAGCAGAAAGCGCCGCGGGTTCGCTTATTCCATGCTCAGCCCCAACTAATTGTGACAATGCCAGCCGTAAGCAACGTTGAGAGTTCGCGACGGCAGCGCGTTCGACGCGAACGATGCAGTGAAAAACATGCGCATCGATCGTCGAATCGCGCAACCGAAGCGCTACCGTCGCAAAGTCTGAACGCTGCCTACACCCACGGCGTTGCAAAACCACACTTTGCAAATCGGGTTCATCCGAAAACGCTTTTGCTCTATAATTTTCAGTTCTCAGCACGTCTTTACCAGCTCATTCCCATGTTTACCTTCTTGCTCATGCTGGCATTCTGGTACGTTGAGAGTTGCATATGGGGGTGAATTGGAGGTCACTGATAACTTTTTCAGTGGGAAATGTTTATACCAGTAGTTCTCGAGTACTCATCCGAATGCCAGTCTGCTACAAGAAGTAGTCCACCCTTTCAGTTCTCCTTTTGTTGATGGCAGCATTCCCGAGCGAAGCCCTACTCCCAAATTTCAATGGTTCTTTCAGATATCCGGTGCACGTGCGTCGGTTTCCGGCGATTCGGCCATCTCAGCTCTTTCAATCATTCTCGATAGAACTATGAACGGTCAGCGTCTCAAGTGCGAAGCGATGAACTCGGCGTTGGACGAACCTCTTGTGGATTCCAAACAAATGACTGTTCTCTGTGAGTATACCACTAGCTTTTAAAGGACGTACTCATTAGAAATATCTGAATATACAATATATCTAAAAATCACTCCTACATCCACCCAATTATAACCCATACCCCTAAGATGCGGTATGCATGCCTATGTACTTCGTTTGAACGTCTAGCTGCCTGTGCTCCCGATAGAACGTTGTTTCTGGACAACTGTATCTCGTCTTTGTCCAGCATAGGACAAGAGGACAGTCGGCTGAAACTCAAATATTTCGCAATTATGCATTCCCAGCAGTCAAACGTAGTACGTAGCCACGCCCACCGCGTCTCAGGGTGCAGAGTATACTGCTGCTAGGATATACTGTTGGAAGGATACCGTGTTAGGAGTACACGAGGTTGAAGGGGTAAGAGTACCAATAAAACATTCTCTAGCCTAAGGGCAGAGACAACCAACCATTCTTTGGTCTTTTGTAGTACATTTTTTACCCATGTGCATAACTTTTATTTCATAATTGACCTCATCTGTAATATTAATCGGTCTGTGCTGATACTGATTGTTGCTGACTGGTAATACATATGATCTTACAGTCACTAATTGATTTTGTTGTAGTTCAACCGAGACGAGTTGTAATTCGGACACCGGAAGGCACCCGTCATCAGCTTTTAGCTGGTGAAGAAGCGAAATTGCATTGTCTGGCCGCTGGATCAAATCCACCTGCTCAGATCACATGGAATTTTCACCCAAACGGAGAGCCGAATCCACTGGTATTCACTGGAGAGACAATATTGAATGAGACGTGAGCACTTCCACTGTATTTTTTTCGCCGTATTGTAACTTAAATCTATGGGATAGCAGCAGGGGAAAGTCATAGGCTTACTCCATTGCATATATAAAAAAGGACTGATGAAACATTGGCTATCTTGTGCTGAGGATATCAGTTTTTCAGTAGAATTATGAAGGGGGGTATCGAGGTGGTGTAGTGGCCCCGCTTACCACGGGGGCCAAATCGCGGATCGGCTCACGTCTGGGCCAACCAGGTCTTCTACACTCCGAAAATGGTAGCTGGTGCCAGTTTCGGACTAGGAGGGTGAAAACAGTGAGTTGTACATCGACTGACCCCGCAAGTCCTTGCATAGGTTCCATCACGGCTAATGCCGTGGACTCCAGCAATTTCGGCACCGAGCTCATTTTTAAATTGCCTAAGTCACCAAATCCGCTAAAAACTTGTATATAGGGGTAGTTTAACATCCTGATTACGAATATGACATTCACTCTTGTCGCTGGCGCCACTACGATTACCTCCTGGGCTCAGCCTTAGCAGAGCGCCTCTTGGGTGACTTAGGCAATTTGAAAATGAGCTCGGTGCCGAAATTTCTGGAGTCCAAACGGTATTAGCCTTCCATCACCTTCGATAAGTCTCTAATTCTTTTTCTTTTTCTTTAGTCCTGAACTTGAGAAGGGTGCTTGCCACGTCTGTGTAGCGCATCTAAAGAAGATTCCAATCAATTTCAGCTTTTAGATTTCTTCCAAGAATGATTATGCTTGCAGATCACGCGATGCCGGCCACACCATCGAGAATGCGGTTACTTTCACACCGACTGAGGAGTACGATGGAACACTCGTACGATGTATTGCAAGCAATCCATTATGGCCCACTTCGAAGAACGTCACATATCCCTTGAACGTCCTCTGTGAGTAAAACCAATTCTTCCTTTTTTTTGTTACCAGAACGGCTGTCACTACCTTCAGAGAGAAGTAAAGCCGCAGTCGGTCGAGAAGTTGTGATTTTAAGGGCATCCTGATTTTAGCACCTTACTTATTCACTCATTCTGTATGAATCTGTACCCAGGGGAGAGGAAAAGCTTCTTGTACCTCATCGTTCTCCCTCAGTGGACCTAATTTTTGAACCAAAGACGGAGGCTTAGCTTTTCGCATCTTGCAAGCAGTAAAACATAGTAATTCTAGTTGGGAATTGGCCCTGGCATTAGAATAAAATTTTATCTCTTGAAACCGGCTTTGCAGCAGCATGTAAATTTCCAAAAATCGTATTGAAACCGAGTTCCAGTAGTAGCAGTCTAACAGTTTCCCCTAGACTGAAAGCTCATTCCCGATAATAACAGCACGCTAGAAGGATTTATGAGCAATCATGAAAACTGACGACTAATTTCAGATTCGCCTCGATTACTAGTGAACAGCCCAATCATTATTGTTGTGGCTGAAGGTGAATCGTTTCGAGAGAACCTCACCGTGAAAGGAAATCCGCCGGTTTCTGCCTGGCGATGGCGTAAAAATGGCATACCGTTCGATCACACCATTGGAAACGTATTTGCACGTGGAGCCACCCTTTCTGGACGAATTGTGAAGGTCCGTGAATATTGATTGGATCTATTGTCAATAAAGTAGGAAGCTCTGGCATGATGTGTTGCCAGCTAGAGTAAGTTGTGGTACATCCATATCCTGGGGATTGGGAGGGTGTGGCTGCGTAGTTCACTTGAATGTATCGTCAGCTGCGTTTTTAGTGGAATATTGCCGCTCTTGGACAGTTTCAATCGAGGCTTTTGTCCAATACAGAACGAGCAGACAGTCGTGTCAAATGCATACACTTGTGAAAACTTTTTGGTTCCACCTTTCAAAATTGCT